TACCAAACCTGTTGTGCACCTTGCCACGAGTTTGGCAAGGGGATACAATAGTGATCCAGGAGTAGATCACTAGACAACGGTTAAAATTATCCTTAGAGGACTAAGAAAATATTTCTCGGTTATGAGGTGATAAAGAATTCGTCGTAAAGAGTTACGTCGATGCAAACTTTTACACCGATGCAGATGACTCTGAGTCTCAATCTGGATACGTATTGAAAGTGGGAGAAATTAGTTAGAGTAGCTCCATGCGAAGCATTGTAGACATAGAAATTGACAAAGTACATACGGATCTGAATGTGACAGACCCGTTGACTAAACTTCGCTTGGAAAGGGGGGCGCAGGGCAAGGCAGCCCACAAGGGGCTGGTGCGCCCTTATACAGGCCAGCCCTATGAGGAGGAGAAGGAAAGAGGGGAGGAAAAGGAAAGTGTGGAGTAGGACTCCCCCTTCCTTCCCTCTCCCCCCTCTTTCCTTCCCCCTTCTTCTTACAAGGAAAGGGGCGCAGGGCAAGGCGGCAGCCCTGGTCTCTTGGGGCGCCCTAGGGGCTGCCTCCTTGCCCTCCCACTTATATAAACATGGGTAGGGGGCGCCACACAAAGACACACAACATTGTCTTAGCCGTGTGCGGCGCCCCCGTCCATCGTTTACTCCCTCGGTCATATTTTCGTAGAGCTTAGGCGAAGCCCTGCGGAGATCGCATCACCAACACCGTCACCACGTCGTCGTACTGTTGGAACTCATTTACTACCTTGACGTCTTGCTGGATCAAGAAGGCGAGGGACGTCACTGAGCTGAACGTGTGCAGAACGCGGAGGTGTTGTACGTTTGGTACTCAATCGTTTGGATCGCGAAGGAAGTTCGACTACATCAACCGCGTTGTGAAACGCTTCCGCTTACGGTCTACGAGGGTATGTAGACACACTCTCCCCCTCGTTGTTATGCATCTCCATAGATAGATCATTGCGTGTGCGTAGAAAATTTTTGTTTTCCATGCAACGATTCCCAACAGCTCCACCATCTCCGCGGCTTGGGTGACGGCGAACTCCACCTCCGCCATGGTGAACCCCAGAGCAGACTGCTCCGCCTCCTCATTTGGGTCCGACAGTTGCTCTTCATCCGCCTCTTCCGGCTGCTCCTCCTCCTCCTCCTTCGGCTCCGGCGAGTCCGATGGCAGCCCGACAGCTATGCGGGAGGCGCGCCTCGCCAGGATCTCCTCCGCGATCTGCCTCCGGCGATCCGGCGTCAGTATAGCGTACATCATGATATAGCGTCGGACCATGGCGATGGCGGAGAGCGGGAGAGAGGAGGCGGACGGGCTCGGGTGGCGGCGTAGAGAGGGAGAAGGTGGATGGACCAGGATTGGGGGACGCCGGCTGGCTTAAATAGTTGGATTTGGCCTTGGGCGGCGAGCCGGAGCGGCGCCACGCGGTGTTCACACCATGGCAACAAAGGAGGTGTCCATCGGACCGCAGGGTTTCCGATCTTTTCCGCGTGGGACCTTGCGGCCAGTCCTACGTGGTGGGCGCGCCCTAGCGCACCATATTTAACTGGATATGAGGTGTTTCGGTTAGCCCAAACGTTCAAGACTCGTTTGAGGCGCCCATCTGAGTTAGATTTTCGTGACCGATCACTAACCGGGTGAGCCGTCCGGGCCTTCATGACTGGTTTGAGACGTCTGGCTGTACATGCTCCAAGGACCAGTCCCTCATCCCACCCCGCTGTAAACTATGAAGAAAACGACCGGTAGCTGTTCCCACAAGGAGCTAAGGTACTGTAAGCGATACTCCTACAGCCAGAACTTGGTGGTCCTAGAGAGAAACAGTCACAGTAACAAGGATCACAAAATTAATTATCTTTCTGTACACTATAAAAAGAGTTCTGATCGCCGTACTTCGCTGCTTACTGTAAAACATCGGTCCCCTCATAGGCCGTAGCCCTGTCCGGTGAAGCACTCGGAGCCAGTACAGGACCAGCTTGAATGGCCCAAGCCAAAAAACTGCTGGTGAAACACTAGTGGGATGCCGAACCTCAGCCTCTTCAGGTTCAAGGATACTCCTACCTAGGATAGGATAGGACCCCGCCTCTTCCTCTTTGTCTCTGCCTGCCGCCGCGCCGTTGGAGGGAAATTCCAACCGCGCCAAAAAATTCACAAGCTTGGGGTCAGGTACCGTACCAACAAATGGAAGCCAGCATTTGACCAGGGATTCAAACGCACACTTTGTGCTTGTGTGGCTCTGCTGCCATTTGACTTGGAGCGCCAATTTTATACTACTCTCAACTTAATACTACTACCGTGACTCTGACATGCAGCAGCAATACAATTATACAGTACAACAAATGTCACCGCAAGCCTCCATTTGCCTTGCATACGTACGTACGTACACTTCAGTCCACCTAATTATAAGTATTAGCACTCCTCTTGTGAGTCGCCCACGTCTCCAACCATGTGGGTGCATGACATAAGCAAGGAACAAATCACGCTTAAAAAATCTACTACTCATAATTTGCTCGAGGAGGTTGACCACTCCACATGTCAGAGAATGCGCATTAAAGCCCGGCCCTGCCAGTTCAAATCTCTAGGCACATGCTACTGGCCTGCCACTGCCGCTGCCATGGTCATCTTCCATCTCTGTTCCAGTATAGCCCAGCAGGCCACGCGAGGAAGCGCGCCACAGCATTTTGAATTCCCTCGTACTGCCACCCACAGGCCCGCCCATCCTCCCCGTTGGCTCGCCTTGTATTCCGTAGATTCCAACAACACACGGCCATGATGGTAGTAGAACATACGGTACGGTACACATTTTTTAAGCAACGCCAGTGGGTGGTTTTGAGTTGATAAAGGAAAGGAACGGGCGAGCAATCAGAGGCGACACGCTCGCACAACCAGCGTGACAACGAGCGGAGACCAATCAACCCGACGGGGGCCGTGCCACTGGTGCACCGCCCGGCCGGTGTGTCTCGGCAACGTGAGAGCCACATGGGCGCCGCCGCGCCGGCTGCGCCAGCTCGGACGCACCCACCTTTCCACCGATGCAGACAGCAGACCACCGAACCGGACCGGACGGACGGCCAGGTTCCTAGCAGCAGCAGCAGCAGCAATGATGGTAGGTACGGTACGTGGAGTAGAGCCGTTCCGAGCGAGAAAGCAAAATACAAAAAACCGTACTACTCCTACTTGGGAAGAATTCGGTCTCCCATGAGACTCACACCCGCGGTCGCTAGCTAGTACTCCCTCCCTTCTAAATTATTGTTCGCAAAAATGAATGTATCTAGAACTAAAATACATCTAGATACATCCATACTTGCGACAAGTAATTCGGAACGGATGGAGTAACTCGTACGAATCGTCTCAAATTTGTTGGCACGACCTGCAGTGGAATGAGCTCGATCGCCAGAGGATTTTTGCCTAATTTCTGCGTTACAGTACAAGTTAGACCCGAATCTCACCAATAAGCTACTGCTAGGACCGAACATTCCGAAAGTGTTTTAGCACATATCGGTCGCCCCAAGAAGTACGACAAGAATCCAGGAAAAGGCGTTCCGGAAAGAAACATTTGGGAACGCGGCAATCCGCTTTGTCCGATCGTGCCATTGCAGGCAGTACCCTTCAAAGAGATACGCATCGGATTGCCGTCCTCTCCAATTCGCTGCGGAAGGCATCCCAAATGTGCCCTCGACATGTGGCGCGGCCACTTTCGATCCAGGCCGACCCGGTGGAGAAAGCGGGAGACGGCGCCCAGAACAAAGCCGGACGCCTTGACCGGGTCAGAGCGGCACGGCAGGGCGCAACGGGAGGACAGGATGGAGCCATGCGAGGCCGTAACGGAATCTGCACTCGCCTGGCCACGCACGGACGGAGCGCCGGACAGGGACCGACGATGGAAGAAGATTCAGAAGAGGTCGGTCGTTCGTCCGTCCCGGCCCCGACCTCTTGATTTTAAACGGGGTCTCGCAAATAATTGAGGCGTAGAATTACGGGGACCCAGACACAGCACAGGCGTCGCCGTCAGAGGACGACACGAGCCGTGAAGATGCAAGATACCGGGGGGCCCGGCCCGGCCGGGGAAGAAGATTCTTGCGGAGGCGGATGGCCCGTTAACTCCAGTCGGAACCATCAGCTATACAATTAACAAAGAACCGAGCACACCCCCTTGTTAAGCAACTATACGTCACATGATTAGACTTTTGCGCCCAAGTGGAGTGCACCCAACACCTCAAGTCACCTCTGTCGAACCTACTCCCTCCCAAGTGTAATTAATCACGGACACTCGATCAATTTCACATGCAAAAATAATTCCAAAACAGAAATGTAACAAGGAGGAAAAGCCCAAGCACCGAACAAAAAACAGCACTATATCTTTCCTTATTATAGAAGATGGGGGTTCCTTATTCACGAAGCAACCGAGCGATGCCAAAAGGGATGATGATGGTACGTGCGTACACATGACTGACCGAAGTGGAATTGCAACAACGCAAATCCAATCCAAGCCTTAAGCACAAATGGAAACATGGAGCTCTTATTTCTTTCCTCCTTGCTTATATCTTACAGCGACGCCTTTCCGAACCGCCGACGATATTTTCCCAATCTTCGTCAGTTCATCACCTTAACACAGCTAGAAGAACTACTTGGCAGGCAGCGCCATAGCTCCGAAACTTCTTCCTTCGTCGGACCCACGACGACACTTATTATTCCTCCCGGCAACAACCTACGGAGGCCATGCCATGGATTTTGTTTCTCCTCCGTTGTTTGCTCGTCGGCGTCCATCCATCCATCCATCCAGCACCAACCGTCCCCCAAAATAACCAATATATCACCCACACGCACCCACGCACGCACGCACAAAAGAACACCTAACGCTGATGCTACCGCCACCGCCTCCTACCTCTAGCTAACTTCTACCTAGCGCTAACCATCGATGATGATAGTAATACGTAGTAATACTTAAATATGGCAGTGATCCATGGAAACGGGGGGAGACGGAGACGGACGGACGATGCATCTCAGTACGTCCACTCCGGCGGGAGATTGACCTCGCACGCCACGGCGAGCGGCGGGGAGTGCGCGGCGGCGGCATTGGCGTTGGCGTTGTGCTCGCGCTTCTGGCTCGCCTGCATCGCGTTGCTCCGGCTCACCAGCGCGTCTGTGAGGACACAAAGAAACGAGTTCGAAATGTCAGTCATTGACGGATCTTCATAACCCAAAATAAAGATGCGATTATCATTGGCGTTGCTAGTGCGTGCGTAATGAGAAGGGATTGATTGCTCACCGTGATCAAGAACGAAGGCTCCGGGGTAGCACGGGCGGGCGCCGAGGTCCTCGACGTTGAGGTTGAGCGCCTGCACGACGCGCGCCGGGAGGAGGACCGTGGAGCAGCCTGAGGCCGAGCAGAGCCACAGGATTTTTAGCTAAGAATACTTTTGGGGGACATGACAGGGGCAGGCAAAGGAAGTGGGGGCGAGAAAGGGGGCGCACTTGGTTTCTTCTTGGGCTCGGCGGGCGCGCCGGCCTGCCGGGGGATGAACACGCCGGTGCCGGTGCACTCGCGCTTGGCCCCCGGAGGGGTGAGGAACACGGCGCGCATGCCGGCCGCGGACGGTGGGGCGTGGTGCGGGGACTTCTGCAGCGGCGGCCAGGCCGAGGGGCTCAGCCCGAGCGGCCCGACGTCGGCGGAACCCCACGCCATGGCCGCCGCCATCGCCAGCTGCTGCTCCCGCTGGTGCTTCATCAGCTGCTGCTGCTTCAGGAGATGGAACTGAAACCCGAAACCATACAAAACGTCAGAGAATAATCACTCCGGCGAGAAACGAAGCGCAAGAGTTGGCCGGCACGGTGCATGAGAAGACAGAGGAACTCACACGAGCGACTTGGGCCTGGCGCTGTGCGAGCGAGTTGTTCGGCGGGTACTGGTAAGGGCCGACGGGCTTTGGGGAGGGAAGCAGCGGCGGAGAGGGCTTCATCGCCGGCGGCGCGACGCCGGCGCCGTGGATGGGAGGAGGGTTGACAACAGGCACGGGGATGCTGTCCACGCCGAGGCGGGCCACCTGCCCGGCGGCCTCGTGCAGGAGGTCCCATGGGTCGGCCGGCCGCTGCTCCAGCGGCGAGGACGGCGGCGAGCTGACCTGCGAGGCGCCGCCGGTGGGGCTGTCCTCCCCGGAGGCCTGCAGCACGCAGAGCGTGGACTGCGGAGACCCAGACATCACCTCCGCCTGGAGCGCGAGACACGCAGAGACAGAGAGAAACAACAACCAATCAGATGCTTCCAAAGACAACAAACAGGGATGCCAACCCAAACCAGGCCAAGAAGCGACGAGACGAGGAGACGAGAGTCCGGCAACCGAAAACCAACCTTGGGAATGGCGCGGTCGCCGGCGTCGCAGTCGAGGGCGGCCACGCGGCGCGAGAGCCCTTCGAGCCCGTCCTCGTCGTCGCTGTCGCTCCTGGCCGCCGCCGCCGCCGCGGCGGCCGCCGCCTTCTCGTCGGAGAAGAAGTCGTCGTCGAGGAACTCGTCCGGCAGCCAGAAGCCGGCGCCGGCGCCGTGGTGCTCCTCCGCCATTTCCGCCCAAGGAAGAAGGAACCAACTCCTCTGCGTGAAGCGTGGACGGAACGACCCCCTACCCGAATATTATAGGCGCGCGCGAAGGCGGGGGACGGAGGCCAGAAATCGCCGCTCGGGGAAGAGATAATTACGCCCAACACGTACCGGGTGATGGCTCCCTCTGCCTCTCCTGCCGCTAATGCTTCTCACTCCTCACAAAGCGTATTTATCTCACCGGACGGACGGACGGACGGCGGAGAAAAGCGGCGTGGGTGGGGGAGGGGGAATGTCAAGGACGGACGGCGAGCCGATGTGGAGGTCAAAGGGGCGGATGTGCGGGTGGTTTATAAAGAAAGGGTAGAGGGGGGGGGGGCAAAATTTACCGGGCGATTTGTTCAAAAGTGTAAAAGGTTACCATTGCGTTTGCGGTGGTGGTGGCGCCGGCGTGTTTTTTGTGCGCCTCCTCGGGGCCGCGTTTCTAACCGGCCGGGTTAAGTATGGTAACCTGGCCAAAATAACCAGCTCTTTTCGCGCTGCGCTTTACGGCTCCCCCCTCATGCGCAACGTCTGGCGGAGAGGTTTCAGTTTCACCTCACCTCGCCGCGTCGTGTCTGTCATCCCTTCTGGCTGAGCCTCAGCTCAACTCATGTGACTTTTGCCTCTGGAAATGGCACCAATAATTGTCTGGCGTCGCGTTCGCAATGTCGTGATTTTGGTTGCAGTGTTGGGTGTGCGACGAAACAACATCGTATGAACAGCGGAAAGTTGCATGGGGTTCACACCAAGGCACCGGACCGAATCGAACGTGCGATCTATAGGCAGATCAGCGCGTTATTAAGAGGGACCATTCACGGAAGTGGTTTCACGCGGAAACCAGCGTGCCCCCACCGAAATGCCACCATTCGGGTGATACTTATTTGTGGTGGTGATTAAATTACTGCCGCGTTGGCGTGCGCGACGAAGAAGCTTGTGCGTCACGAGACCCGCGTCGGGCCCCAGGAGTTTGTACTCGTCTCATGTCACCGCGCTGTCCAGCGGCCACATTGAATTCGTGTCCGGCTCGCCTCTCGGGCCGCGGCCAGGTGTACTGCGTGTGGTAAACCGGTAACGGAGTGCCCGTTCGTGCGTCGCGTTCGTGCCGTGCCATGCCATGCCAGTCCAGACGTGAATGTACGTGCGTGCCGTGCGCCGACGAGAGTGAGTGAGCCCGAGAGTGGCATGCAGATACAGATGCAACAATTCGTCCGGTCGCCCAGATGCGCTGGCGTACGAGGGATGGGAACCTTTTCTCCTCGGATTCTTGCGGACCGCCGCTGCATGGGTCGATAGATTCCGCAACGACCGCGCAAAGAACAGGCCGGCCACGCCCGTCGCCAATGGCGGCGCGCTTGTCGCGCCGGTTCGGCCGACGGCGCCCTCGTACGCACGTAGGAGTACTACGTACGTAGCCCCGCGAAACCAGCCAGCGCCTCGGGCTCACGGGCGCCACGATCTTAATTTACCACGTTCTGTTTGGCAAATTGTTTTCACGGCCGCGCGCTTCTTTTGGCGGCAGCGGTCGCGTTTTGGGCGGGGCGACGGAAATGGCGTGGGATGAGGTGAGGTGAGGCGCCGTCGTTCCCGGGACCGGGAGAAAGAAACGTGGAAGCGAGCGGCCGCGGGGCGCCCCATGCCATGGCTTTCGAGGGATCGTGCTCCGCTTTGGCGGGACGGGGGCGCGGCGAAGCAAACGTGCGGACGTGCGTGCCAAACTTCAGGCGCCCAGCCCAGGTTTGTCGCAGGTTCTTAGTTTTGTTTTAACAGCATTGTTTCCAGGCCAAATATTCAGACTTCCAACAGAACCAGGTTAATTAGCACGTACTCCACTTGATTAGTGAATCATTATCTTCCGTCGGGTGAAAGATCCGTGCGCATTGGCCGTTGCGTTCCGTTCTGGTATGCGAGGGAGGCACGTCCTTTGGACGGACGGACACTGTCGCCGGTCCGGCACGCCTCGATCGCGGCACGTCGGCCCGTGTCGTGTGGCGGCCCGTGCGATTCCCGCGCCGCTGCTCAACAAAGTGGCGACACAGCACGAACTTGAGGCGTTTGGGGAACACCCAAGGATTATATAAAACAAAACTAGTGGAGCTTAATCTGGAGAAGGTGGATCAAAGGTGTTGCTGGATCGTGGCGTCTGTCCCCACCAAGCCCGCAGGCTAGCTCCCGCTGCTAGCGGCAAGGCTGGCCGAGCAGGGAGCATAGATAGCCCGTGCATTGTTTGTTCTTCCCAACCACATGCCCACGCCCAGTTCTGCGTAACATTGTCGCGCCTACTGTATGTTTTTTTTAGACCATTGTATTAATTTACGTGTATGCAACGGTGGTGGTGGTCGAGTAGTGACGGAGGACCCCGACGAGTCGCTCACCAAAATAGGAAATGTTCCTAGGAAAAAATACATTTAAAACTTTGACCTCTTTATGTTTGCTGTATATAATTGAAAATATGCTTGTTGAATATTTATATTGGACACGTCAAATGTAGGTTTAGATTTTGTTTGGGAAACGAATTCCGGAAGGCCATGCAAAAATATTTAACAAGGTACGGCGTGGTTTGGAGTTTAAAAAAAATTCACGATGATTAATGAGAGGGATTTTATGAATAGCAGAGGTCTTCTATAGTACTTGGCTAAACGGAGGGTTTTAGCGGAAACTTGTAGAGAACAAAAGTTAGATTCCTTCCTTCTCGAAGACTGGGAGACCCAACTTTAATTTCAAGTTTTTTGGTTCTATTTTAGGGGGTTTAGATTTCATATGGTATTGCCTTCTACCCCAAGGAAGGTCCGGCGAGGGTTTTACCTGGTGTTAACAAGGCATTAATTGAAATGAGGAAATTAAGATGTGGGTGATTTTGCTTCAAATTTCACGTGCAAATTAAGATGTGGCGTCACTGCTAGCGGCAAGGCTGGCCAAGCGGGCAGCATATATAGCCCGTGCACTGTTTGTTCTTCCCAACCACACGTCCACGCCCAGTTCTGTGTAAAATTGTCGCGCCTACTTTTTTTAAGACCGTTGTATTAATTTACGTGTATGCAACGGTGGCGGTGGTGGTCGAGTGGTGACAGAGGACCCCGACAACTCACTCGCCCAAAAAGAAGATGTTCTTGATGCGGATCAAGCCAGCAATTTTGAACTTTTCCTAAGAAAAAATACATTTAAAACTTTGACCTATTTTGTGTTTGCTCTAATTAAAAAAATGCTTGTAGAATATTTATGTTGTACATATCAAATATATGTTTAGATTTGGTTTGGGAACAAATTTTGTAAGCACTTGCAAAAATATTTAACAAGGTACGGCGTAGTTCGAGTTTGAAAAGAAATTTCACGATGATTAATGAGAGGGCTTTTTTGAATAACAAAGGTCTTCTATACTTGGCTAAACTGGGAGTTTTAGAGGAAACTTGTAGAGAACACAAGTTAGATTCCTTGCTTTCTCGAAGACCGGGAGACCCAACTTTAATTTTAAGTTTTTTGGTACTATTTTAGGGGGTTTAGATTTCATATGGTATTGCCTTCTACCCCAAGGAAGGTTCGGCGAGGGTTTTACCTGGTGTTAATAAGGCATTGATTAAAGTGAGGAAATTAAGATGTGGGTGATTTTGCTTCAAATTTCATGTGCAAACGAAAGTTGACAACTTTGATTGGGATCTTGCTACGGTGTATGGTGCGGCGCAACATATGCACAAACCCTATCTGAATTAGTACGTATTTTGGGGATGAGAAACTCCATATTCTCGTGGGGGTGACTTTAACATCATCAGTACTTCCTCCGTCTCAGTTTACAGGTCATGCGCGTCATTCTAGGTTGAGAATTTAACTAGCTATATATGTATTATATATGATGAAAAATATATGTTTAAAAACTACATCAGCTTAAGAATCCTTTTGGTGACATATAACTCATATTTAGTTAGTCAAATGAATAACCTAAAACTACGCGCACGCCCTGTAAACTGAGACGGAGGGAGTAGAGAAGATAAAAACAATAATGACTACTTTGATGGTAGATGGACATTCATTTTAATGCTATTATTAACAATCTTGATTTGAGAAAGATCGCTCTTTCAGGTTGTAAATATACATAGGCTAATGATCTTCCAATTCCAATTTATGAGAAGCTAGACCGTGTTTTTGCTTCTATGGATTGGGAGCAAAAGTTTCCTCTACAATGCGAGCATTACAAAGGGGACTCTCAGGTCATAACCATCTACTTTTGGGTTCGGGTGAGGCAGACCACTTAGGGAACATATTGACCTTCTAATTTGAACTTTCGTGGTTCGAGGAAAAGGTTTTTCAGAGATGGTACATGCGGGATGGGCAGAAGAGGCTGGGGGTAATACAAATATTGATAGATGGCAATTCAAAATCCGACAACTTAGACAATTCCCGCGAGGTCGGGTTAAGAATCCCAGTGAATTATAGGTCGAAAGATATAGGCTACTACATGTTATAGATGATCATGGTATTAAAGCGGAGGTGGCTCCTCTCGGTTTAGTAGGATATGCTCCTAAATGCGAGGTTGAGGGTGAAGATTGCTAAATTGCTGAGAGAGGAAGAGATTCACTAGGCACAACGTGCTAAAGTGAGGGAGGGGGTAGTAATACCAATTCTTCCATTTGATTGCAAATGGCAAGCATATGAAGAATAAGATTATTATGCTTGAACAAGATGAAGGGACCATTGTTGGTTAAGAGAACTTGGTATCATACATCATAAATTTATATTAAGAGATTATTTGAGGCCCCCTATATAATTTTATGTCTTTAAAGGAAGACATAAGGGGTGAGATTCTGCAATTATGTCCGGGAGAGAATGCGGTGTTGACTGCCCCCTTCACGGAGAAGACGGTGTGTGATGCAATTCTTCAAATGAAGAATAATAAAGCACTGGGACCAAATGAGTTCCTCGCAGAATTTTATCATAGATGTTGGGGTGATTAGGGGGATTTGCTTCCCATGTTTCATGATCTTTTTAATGAT